AGTGACTTCAGGTGTTATATCTTTTGGTAGCCAAGCATCATCCGCTTTCTTCACCACATTTTCTTGTGCACCCATTCCATTAATAGTTTTTTGTTGTTACAAATTCCTTCAGCATTTGCTTATCTGGGAATATTTTAATTTAATTATTTTAATTTCATACTCTTGTATAGAATTTCCAGATATAAAAATGTTTGCGATGGTTCCGTTCCTTTAGCACTTCAAATATATTGTTGCACTTTCTCTGCTTTCCAAGAAGTCTGGGTAGAAAGGAGCACTTAATCTTACTAAAGATTCCTTGGATGGGGTGACTTGCTTCTCCCTTGCTGCTTCCAGGATCTGCTCTTTATCTTCAAGGGTCTTGAGATGGTTGTCTTTTCGTTTCCACCCCCACACCCAACTTGAAGCTCGTTAAGGTTCTTAGATGTGTGGATTAATGTCTTTTCATGAATCGGAATCTTTTTCTGCCAGTATTTCTTCAAATACTCGTTCTGACCCTTTCTCGTCTCCATTTAGAACACCCTAACGTATATGTTGTTTTGCTTGATGATGTTCCACAATCCTTTTAGACTTTGTTCACTTTTCTTCATATTTTCTTTTTTCTCCTCAGATCTGATCATTTCAACTTTTTATATTCTAGTTCTCTAATTTTTTGTTCAGCTCAAATCTGCTACTGAAGCCCTCGTGTGAATTTTACTTTTCAGTTATTTTTACTGCCAGTGATTATGCTTGATTCCTTTTATTGATATCAATATCCTTTTAAAATGTTCAACTCTATGGTTTTAAAGCTTTCTAGCCATTCTATGATGTAGTATGAAGATGGCTAGTGCCATTTTACATTGTTCTTTTGGACTGTACTTTGTTTTTTTGTATGCCTTGTTATTTCTTGTTGAAAGTGGGACATTTCAAGATAAGTGTATTGGCTCTGAAACGCACATTCTTCCTCTTACCCAGGGTTTGGAACCGTGTTTTCTAAATCATTAAGGGCTGCCGCAGTATATCTGCTCAGTGACCTCCACAACTAGTTTTGCAGTGAGTCCTCTCGTGTGGAAACAAACTCACTGAAACTCTCATTCCAACTCGTAAGTGTTCATCACGGTGTGTACTTTTTATCACATAATTCAGTTCAAAATGGTGGTTATAGGTTGTCCCAATCTGTAGGTGTCACTAGTTGCCCTTTCCCACTGTATGTGCTCCAAGCCAGGACGAAACAGAGGGGGTGCCCTGCCCCCATCAGCCGATCAGGCACTCCCAAACGGATCACACCACCATAATATTTTGTTTCTTCTTTGCCTACCGTCATGCAGAGATCGCGTCTGTCCTCCACGAGCAATCTGCTGTCATCTCTGCCATCAAGTCAGACGAGGGCATGGGAGGGAGGCATGTAGTAGAAAATGAAGGCTTTCTGAGCAATCCAACGATGTTTTAAAAAACTTTTTTTTTGATTCAGCATTTGCTTAGTTGCTGTAATCTTCCAATTGTTTTTCAAAATTCTTGCCAGCACTAAATCTACCAATTTTGGATAATTTTCTTTGGGGATCATGTGAAAGGGTTGGAGAATAGAACTGCTCATGCTACTATCTTCCAGGAAGTTTCTGAAAGTAACAACTCCTGAAGAATCATTTCTTTCCCATTCCTTCGTGCATATCAATAGGACAATACCAAAAGCAATTAAGATGGCCAATCAGCAAAGGTTTATTAAACCTTCAGTATGTTGACTAGAAATGGGGGTAATTTAGCTACTTTGCATTCAATATCTCTTTCAAACTATGTTTTACTGTGTTTAACATATAACTTGTTTAGTTGCATAAAATACAAAGGAGGCAGAATTAAGTAGCCCTAAAGAAACTACTGTCTTTAAAATGCCAAACTCAATTATATGGACCCTTGGTATTTCCTAGAGAAGGAGAAACAGCTGATCATAGATCCTAGAAGAAAGATGCAGGTTAAGAAATAGACAAAAGCAATTTGTTTAAAGTAGCATGCTTATTTTAAAATAAATTAGCCTTAATTTAGTGGTGAATGGATTATACTTAAAAAATAAAAGTATACCTTTTATTTGAAACATCAAGAACTCAAGCTGCCTTTAAGGAGGAAATAAAAAGTTTGACTATAAATCTTATAAAGAGATAAAGAAGCGGGTTACTTTCTACTCCTGTAAAAAGGTACAGTCCCTGAAGCTCACAGGGGTAGTTCTAACTGTCATATAGGCTATGGGTCAGAATTGGCATAATAGCAGTGAACTTGAGAGAGAAAGCAACAGAAGAAATTGCTGTATAACAAAAATAAAGTTTAGGCTTTTAAAAATATTAACATTCATTTGACTGAAATGATATCATTTATGTTGGCACATATTCTTTGAATGGCTACGTTATGCTAGAAATTGTTCTGGAAACACCAAATCACCCTTTATTTGAATTAAGACTTTGTCCACTTCAGATTAAACTCCTTTGGCTGAAACGTTATCAGAAGCCTCATAAGCGAGGTCTAATTAGTCACTTCTCATTCATTGTATGTGAGAGGGACACTCTACTTATGTAGTATTAAATAAAAATAATAATAACGCTGTCGGAGGGTGAAGGAACCAGCCCCCACCCGCTGCTTGAACTCACTGGTTCAGTAATACTACTTCTGGGTTCAGTAATGCACAATTGTACGGTTGAGATATATAAGCATTATATTAAAGTCATCGAGAGCATGAGAGATAATACAATAATACAGTTAGGCATGATACATAGCAACATTGCTCACCTCAGCCCAGCTTGGTGGTCCACGTGGAGAGGGGGAAGGGAAGGAGGGAAAAGGGAACAAGGGAGAGGGGAGTCGCCAGGGAGTGAGCAGCAAGGAGCTCAGGGTCAGAGTCGGAGAGGTTCTGCTGACTCACACCTATATACCTTTTGGGGGCAAGCCAGCCCACTAATTACAGGTAGAGACATACATCACAGGGAGGGGTTGCACTATAGGCTACACAGCAATGAGAGGGTGGTCTCTGGGTCTCCATGGGAACCATTATCAGTAGGGTGCGAACTCCGCCCTCGGGAACCAAACTAATGGCCCCAGGTTCCAGAGAGAGGTAGTCTATTGTCTCCAGCAGCAGGGAGTAGGCCCAGCCCTGCTGTGGGATGAGACAGCAGTCTGGCAGCAAGTGTCTGACTTCTCCCCACATACTTACAACAGGTTTTATTGGGGCAGAGGAGTGATTTGAATATGCGATCTTTCTAGAGAGAGGGAAGGGTGTCCATTGGGTTAAGCTATTTAAAAATAAAACAAAATAACCCTGGTCATTTCACTCGCTAAGAACGATTAATTATTTGGATTCTTTCTTTATTTATTGCCTAGCACAAGTTTGTATTTTAGGCATGCTCTGTAACTCCAAGTAATAACTTATAAAACAGATATATCAAGTCTGACTCATAGCCAGCCTACGATGTACAGCTTTCCTGCTTTTAAATCATGCATGCTTTCCTTGTTCTGTTGAAAAGACTGCCTCTTGTTCTATGTATAGGTTCTGCGTGAGCACAATTCAGTGTTCTGGAATTCTCCTTCTAGGCAATGTGATGTGTAATTTGTTATGATCCACACAGCTGAATGCCTTTGCATAGTCAAAACAAGTAAACATCTTTGTAATAGTCTCTGGGCTCAGCTAAGCTCAATCTGATATCAGCACTGATGTCATGTCTTCTAAATCCAGCTTAAATTGCTAGATCCTCCCCATCAATGCACTGCTGCAACCATTTTGAATGATCTTCAGTAAAATTTTACCTGCATGGGATGTTAATGACATTGTTCAAAAAGTTTTGTACTCTGTTGGATCATTTTTCTTTGGCATGGGCACAAATATTAATTTCTTCCTGTTGGGCAGCTAGTTCCTTTCTCTCTCTCTCTCTTGCATACTCAAATGAGTGTACTGCCTCAGCTTCTTGAAATATATAGATTAATATTCCATCAATTTCTGGAGCCTTGATTTTTGCTGATGCCTTTGGTGCAGCTTGGACTTCTCCCTTCCATATGATCAATCTGTAGTCATATACTAACCCTGGAATAGTCAGCTGCTTACCAGTTGTTTCTGGGAGAGTGACTCTGTGTGTTCCTTCCAGCTTCTTTTGGTGCTTTTTGCATCATGAAATATTTCCCCACACAATCCTTCAAGTTAGAACTCGACACTTGGATGTTTTCTTCAGTTCGTTCAGCTTCAGTTATGCCAAGCTTTCTTCTTCGTTGGCTTTCTAACTCCAGATTTTTGCACATTTCACTCTAATATCCTACTGTGCCTTCTCAGGCTGCCCTTTGAAATTCTGTTTAACTCTTTCACTTCCTCTTTTTTCCGGTTGCTTTAGGTATTCTATTTGAAGAGCAAGTCTCAGAGTCCTGTCAGGCATCCACTTAGATCTTTGCTTTCTTTCATATCCTTTTAACGACTTTGTATTTCTTCATGTATTATATTCTGAAGATCATCAGGGTCGTTAATATTCAGTGCATTAAATCTGTTCTTGAGATGTTTTCAAAATGCAGGGGTACATACTCGTTCGCATTTTGACTCATGTGGATCTGTTCTAATTGTCAACTTCCAATGGAACTTCCATATGTGGAATTGCTGGGTTGGTCCCCTCCTGGCCTTGTTTTGACTGATGATGTTGACCTTCTCTATTGACCTCTCCCACAGGTACAGTCAATTTGATTCAAAGTGTTTTCCATCTGGTGAGGTTCACAGTTTCAGTTGTTGAAAAAACAAACAAACAAATGTTTGCTGTTACAGCAGCATTGTATTTTAAGATAAATCTCGACATTTCGACAATTAATGGGACACCATTCTTTTTTTAATTTGCCACTGAAGAGGAAAGCTTGGTCTGTGTTAAAATGTTCCTGTTTATATGGCCAGCCATATTGTTGGTGTCTTTTAAGATAACTCAAATAATCTCTTCTCCGACAGGATCCAAATGAAATGGCACTCATTTATGTAGGAGATTTAAAGTTGACCGTATGATCATCCAATGATTCTGATCATCTCTTCTTGCCTTTCAGATATTCAATTTTGATATACGTCCATTGAACTGGATGGAATACATTGAAAATTATGTTTTGGGAATTAAGATGTACTTATTAAAAGAGGATATGGCTAGAGTCCCAGAAGCAAAAAAACAATTCAGAAGGTAAGGATAATCAGCCAATCAATATGTACTAAGCACTTACTATGGACTTGGCTTTATATGACATGAAATTTGGGTGAAGAATAATTTAAATTTCTTGAGCATTAGTATATTACAGGTCAACTGCTCTAGACCAGTGGTTCTCAACCTTCCTAATGCCATGACCCTTTCACACAGGTCCTCATGTGGTGGTGACCCCAACCATAAAATTATTTTCATTGCTACTTCATTACCATCATTTTGTGACTTTTATGAATCGGGCAACCCCTGTGAAAGAGCTGTTCCACCCCCAAAGGGGTCGCGGCCCACAGGTGGAGAACCACTGCTCTAGATCATACATTGTTTCCTCTGGTCTTTGCCATAGCCCTAAAAAATCTACCCCAAACCCACTATCATCACGTCTGTTCCAGTGGAAAGAGGCTCTCTGGAAGGTCTCCAAGAGTATACAGCTTTCTAGGAGCAGATCACCGTATTTTTCTTCCTGGGGTATTTCAACTGCTGTGCTTGAGCTTAACACTCATTGCACACTGTAACCAGGGCTCCTTAACACATCCATAGGAAGCAGATAGTACTATTGTGTTGTTGGTATCCCATTTTTACCAAAGAAGTAAGTAATGTATTATTAACACATGGGAAGCACAAGAGGTAGGATTTGAATCAAGATGTTCTATCATACCCTATCAAAATGTGACACTGAAAAAGTCTACTTAACTAGTTGGTAGATGGAATTCTGGAATTTAAGCTGAGTAAATCATGAAAGCATTCTTCCAACTTCAATTTTTTTCAGTCAATAATTTCTAGAGAGAAAAATCATTATGCCAATGTGATATATTTCTGACAGAAGTACAGTATTTGCATTGCAAAAAAGATAAGGATAAACAATTAGATAGCAAACTAATGGGGCAGAGCCTTCAATAGCAAGCTATGGACTTCAGCATTTACCTTTTGGGAACAAGAAAGTGTAAAAAAAACCCCAAAAACCAGTATTACCAAAGTATATTTAAGAAAGATTACACTAAACACAAGAAGCCCTGGTGGTGTAGTGTTATTTGTTGGGCTGCAATCTGCATGTTCAGTAGTTCGAAACCATAAGCCGCTCTCAGGAAGAAAGACGGGCCTTTCTACTCCTGTAAACAGCCTTGGAAACTCACAAAGGGGTTGTATTGACGTCAATTATGGCGGTGAGTTGGAGATTCTAACCACGTTTGTGGTACAGTAAGGCATGAAGAAGAAAAACCAGTTAAGAGAATGTTGTAGAAATCCAATTATTCACTAAGAATGTTGAGCAAATGAAAAAAAAACAAACCCCAAGTTCAAGGAACATTTCAATAGACATACCACACTCCTTATAAGCACTTGGTATTTTCTACTCATAAAAGAACACATTTATGCTTCAGATAACATGGCTGGGTATTTATCACTATTTTTAACTTGGTTATATGTATCTGTCCTCCAGGATCCGAAATATTCACTACCTCATGAATACTATCTTGTTCCTCATCGCCTGGCGCCTGCTCATTGCAAGATCTCAGATAGCTCGGAATGTCTGGTTCTTCCTCGTTCACTTCTGTTATAAATTCCTCTCTTACTTTAGGGCATCTATCACACTCAAGGCATAAGAATACTCTGTAACCACCTATTATCTGGAACCTCTTAGACACTTCTAAAACAGCCAACTGTGCTTCTCAAGCTGAGGATGTAACAAGGAACATGCCCAAATGCATTACTGTCAAATGTGCTGTCACACATGCCCTCCTGTGTCTTAACAATTCTCTTTTTTCCCCCAGCAAGAGAAGGAAAGTTATTCTAGTTCATAATCATATAACTAGATTGTTAGAAAAAAATTACTTTCCATCACTCCCTTATAGCCCATTTATATGTTCTTGCATATATAACACCAAAACGTTCTTTCTAGTCTTTCTTTTCTCCTTGAAAGATGATTCAACTCAATAAACATGAAAAAGCAGTGGGAGAAGCTGAAAAGTGCTAAAGAAAGGTACTTCTGACCTTGAGATGTTCTGGGATACCTTGTAGAAAGGTCTATAATCAAGTTCAGTAATGGAGGAAAGGTCTCAACTTCCTTACACACACTGTAAGAGAAATCATTCTCCACTGAAAAAGCGTCTCTTTCCTTTCTGTGTTATACTCTGAAATTCTATTTAGAGGTGGGAGAATTGGAAAAATGAGTTCACGTTTCAGTTTCTTCAACTACAAAGCAGAACACTCCCCATTCACCCCTCCAAAAAAATACACACCTATTGACTGTCAAGTAATTCTGACTTAAGACAAACCCATGTGCTTTACGAGTAAAATTCCGCTCCAGGGGCGTCCTTGACTATTATCTTACTCAAACAGATTAAGAGGCCTATTTGCCCATGGCACCACTGGCTGGATCCAAACTGCCAACCTTTCTGTTAGTAGCTTAGAGCAAACAATTTGTACTACCTGAGGACCTTTCCTCAACTATACTCACCTTTTAAGCCTAAAACTGAATACAAGATGTCAGTCATGTATGGAATATTGAGCCAGGGAGGGTTTCCACTGCAGTGTACTTACTCATGCACCCAGGACAGCAAGGACTCAAATATATTTGCATTTGGGACACTATTATGCTTTCAAGTAAAATTAGTCTCTCATTTTGAGTTGGACAACTCTTATTTCTAAATGCCTTCTTCAAAATCACCATTTTGGTAACCCTCTTGAGTTTCTTGTTCATCAAACTCCCCAAATGCTTGCATTTAAGCTCTTGCATCCAGGCCTCGATTAGCACGGCTCATGTGAAGTTAGTTGTTCTAAGCTAGGATCACATAGAAACCCATTCCCTTGCTCTTTGTCATTAAAGAAAACAGAATTGCAAATAAATTCTTAGACACATGGTTTCTTTTTTCCCTAACATGAGGAAAAGAACTCTTGTATGCTTATGAGAGAAATTGTTACTATCTCAATCATTCTCTATTTGCATATTAAATGTTTAATGTATTGCAGCAAAGAGGTAGACTTCACTAGATGACTAAGTTTAGAGAAGTTTTGTTTGCTTAAATATATACAGATATTCCAAATAATTAATTTGTAAAAACTATATGCAAGGTTAAGTCTAAAAGTATTGTGACCAGTCTGGCTCCAGTTCATGCACACACGGGTTTATTCCCAACAAAGCATGTCATGTCTCAGATCAGCAGATGGTGGCAGCAAAGTTCTCAGTGAAACCCGGGTCTTCTCATTAATACCCTTGCCTGGTCTAGAGTGCCTTCAAGTTAAAGACCAACCCAAACAGCAGCAGCTGCAGCTGCTGGACCAGTTGAGTTAAAGGAGAGAAATCACCTCAGGCGGTTCCACTGTTTGGAATTCCAAAGAAATATTCTTGCTAGATCTTCTCAAAGGACACGGGAAGATCACAAGGGCTTGTTAAGGGAGAAGTTTTCAACAAATTGGAAACTACATTGTTAAGAAAAAGGCTAGGAAAGTTGTGCCATCCCATTGTGCCAGCTCCTTCTTCCCAGGCAGCAAATTCCTGAATTTCATTAAGAAATCGTCCCCATCCACCACTCCCTGATCTTGCCCCTTCAGTGTTTTTGTTCCCAAACTCTAAGAAATTGGTAAGGAACATCATTTTAGTTCCTTGCGGATGTCCACGCTCTTGTTGACATGAAATAGCAACGAATTCCGGGGGAAGGAAGGGTTAAAGAGATGGGGCCATCACCTTTAGAAGTGGAGAGCTAAATGGAGGATATGGTGAGAACTGTACTTCAGTATTTTTAACAAAGATTTCTGATTTTAATATTTTAATTATTTCTATGATTTTGTCAATCCTTTTGACTTACCTTTGTAAATTCTCAAACTCATGTACTATTCCTATAACCCCTATCCCAACTTTACTCAAATGAGAGGTGAGGGCATGGTAGATTGCAGTGGTTGAAGTGTCCAACTCAGTGTCCAGAGAGATTTTGCTGAGCTCTACAAAGGGCATTTTGAGGGAACTCTAAATTCTAGGTACTCCTCTCCAGGGCAGACAACCAGTTCTGAAACAAAGCAATCCATAACAATGCTTTGAGTTTACATCAATTAAGTTGCAAACTATTGTTGGTATTGTTGCTTTTAAGTAGATTTGCATTCATGGGAACCGTGATAAAAAAATAAAATGGTTATACAGAATTAGGTTAAGGTGTAGTTTTAAGAAAGTACTATGATTTGATTATTGTGTTTCAGTAATTCATTAACTCCTCTGATCAAGTATTCTCAAAACTTTTGATTTAATAAAAAAAAGTGAACTATAAAAACAAGTTTCATTTCTCGTGTTGTGCCTTTGCTCATTTGTTGTCTCCTCGGGCCAATTCCCTCCTGTCCATTCTATTCCCCCAGAGGAGGAAACCATCTTCCAAAACTCTTTCAAGAGAATGAAAAACAAACTAGATGAATATATACTTACATCTAACACATAGGCACATAATTGCCTCAATCTGACACCAATACGGTTAGACTTGTATGCTGAAAACTGTTCTATTGTGACATCAGGGAACTAACAGAGATGAAGTTCTCGTCTGAGAATTAAACAGCAAAATTAGGCATCTGTATTCAAAATGCCTATTAAAAAATTATTGTACATCAAGATTAATGGTTTAAGTGCCTTGTGTGTGTGCGTGTGTAAAACCTTCTAATTTGAGGAAGATGGAAAGAACAAACATGCCTGTATTAAAAAAAAAAAAATTGGCAACCACTCTACTCAAAGTATATTTCACAAAGCACCAAACAGGTGAAGACTTGTCAGTACCTGAGATAATTAAAACTAAGAAGTTGAGGTAGATGGATATGAAACTCAGAAATGTTAATATGGATTATACCCAAATTCTCACAGGGCTACTGCATGAGTGCCTAAAGCAGTGTTTCTCAACCTTCCTAATGCCACGACCCTTTAATACAGTTCCTCGTGTGTGACCCCCCCAGCCATGAAATTTGTTTCATTGCTACTTCCTAACTGTAATTTTGCTGTTATGAATTGGTCACAACCCCCAGGTTGAGAACCGCTGGCCTAAATTCTGAGGTACTTGACTTGTAGATAGCTAGTCGACAGTATACAGTTGGGAGTCCTAATGCCATCGTTAGTCCTGGCTCCATTTTGTTAATGTTACAAAACCAAAAGTCTGATTCATACTGACACTATATAGGGTTTCCTATGCTACAAATCTTTACAGGAGCAGGCAGCCTCATCCTTTTCCAGGGGAGCAGCTGATGATTTGAACTGCGGCCCTTTCAGTTAGTAGTCCAATGGTCACCCTATAGTGCCAACAGGGCTACTTTAACATAATCATGGAGCTAGAGAAGTGATTCTTTGTGGCAAGGTACAGATATACAAAAAATGTACACCTTTGAGAAACGATGTACAAATGCGCTTTACACAATTGATGTGTGTATGGATTGGGATAACAGTTGTATGAGCCCCTAATAAAATGTTAAAACAAACAAACAAAAAAGAAACCATTCCAGATCACACACACACACACACACACAATGTACACCTAAGGAGGGTCTTGACATAGAGATCCTTTCAGAAATTTCCTGTACAAATAGATGCTACAAATATACAGATCTAATGGCTACCTCAACAATTTAATTTGCACCAAGCCTCAATAAACTTAACTTACTTTAAAATACAAGTATTCCCTTGTTAAAATTACTTTTCTAGAATTGCTATCCTAATTATGACACCTGGGAACGTAACTCCCCATTGTAAGAAGTGATCTTTGTCCCACGGGTCCACAAAAAACAAAACCTAATCCATTACCAAGTTAATTCTGAGTTTTGGCAACCTCATGTGATGGAGTAGAACCACTTCATAAGGTAATCTTGGCTGTAACCTTTACCCCAGGCCTTTCTTCTGAGGCACCATTGGGTGGGTTTGAACTGTCAACCTTTATGTTAGTCACTTGCAGACTGTGCCAGCTAGAACCTAGATGCCCACATTTGGTTGAGAAAATTATCTGATTAAACACAGAAAAAAAGATTTAACAATGGCTAGTTTTAAAGATGTAACTGATTTGAGAGGACCATCTGATTAGCATAAAGTTATACCAAAAATAAACTGGGTAATAACCAAGTTTGGAAGTTTGAGTTCCTCTAGAGGTGCATGAAGAGGCAGTGTACTTCCAGAAAAGCCATTCCCGAAGACCATGGAGTTAAAACTCTGACACATCTGGGGTCAAAATGAGTAAAAATCAATTTGACTGCTATTGGTTTTTAACTGGTAGTATCCTCTAAAGTGTACACACTTAGGAAAAAACAACAAATGCTTAACCAAAGTTAAGGTGAAAATCTAGAAACAGCTCATCTGTTTTATAAACAGCTCTTTAAATAAACATTTTAGGTGTACACGGATTTGAAATACTGATTCTAAATCAAAGCGATGAGGAGAGTTCAAAAGCTTCATGAAAAAAAGGAACGATACTGGAATTTCCCCAAGAACTTTAGAGGGGCCCCTTCATATGCGGGGAGTTGGGGTTCCTAATGAAAAGAAAGGCAAGCTACAAGAGGATGGGGTGCAAATGGCTAATGCTCTGGACTGCTAATCAAAATGTTGAAGGTTGAAGTCCACCCAGAGGTGCCTCGGATGAAAGCCCTGGCAATCTTTCAAATAACCAGCCACTGCAAACTCTCAGGAGCACAGTCCTACACACGAGGCCACCGTGAGTCAGAATCCACGTGATGGAAACTGGTAAGGCTCCTTACTAGGGACATGATCGTAATTGTCCATGAGGATCAAAAAGACAAAGAAAGCGCTTACAACTTGTAGTTTTATTTAGAGTCCAAATGTTGGGGGATGAGATAACACTTGAAATGTTTTATATCCACTTATCTCTCCCCCAAACCAAACAAAAATCAACAAGAAAAATATAAAAGTCCAAGGCAGTTTGTTTTCTATTCCTAAACTGATGCAAACAACTTCATTACTGAGGAAATGCTTAGGAAACAGGAATAAGAACTATACTTGGTCTACGTGGTAACAATTAAGAGAATACTAGGGACTGATCCAAGAATTATAGCATAAAATAGTAAAGAAATAGTGCTCTATTTGAACAATGTTGGATAAAGGGGCAACTCCATTTGGCTTGCTAGAACTGAAAACATAGAAAAATAACTTATGCAATAGATCAATGGAAATTCTGTGATTTTAAATGTCCTACTGCTTAGGTCTAAGTAAATATTAAATTATTAAAAAATGCACCTTGAACTCAAGTGTAAACTATATTTTTCAAGTAGTAGCGTTGCAAATGTTTGTTTTATATTTGAGTCACTAACTTAAGACATAAAAAGAATGTATAAAGATTCCTGTTTATACCATGAAAAATGAGACCTTAGTCATTCCTTTCTGAATTATACAGTTTAGTCAAGATCGCAAACTTTGTTTATATTAATAATTTTTGTAAAAAAAAAAAGTACCCATAAATGCTTAAGAAAAGTGTGATAATCAAGTTGATAATTAGCAGTAATTTTGTATAACTCACATAGTTATACTTTTCCAAAGAGGTAGTTTGAAGTGTACAAATATTCACTTAAAGGTATTAATTTTTACAGGCCAAATATAGGCAAAGATAAAAAAGATAATAAAAAATCCATGTCACATAACTTGAGATCAGATTTCTAGAGTGACATAAATACCCTAATAAAAGGGAAAGGAGGCTTGAATAAAACAGCTGGTTATTTTAGCTCTGGACACCGCTGGCCCAGGGCAAAGCTCTGCACTAGCCAGGACAGGAAAGTGCTCTTGTCAGCAGGAAACACTTGGTGAAGTCTGTCCCAAACCTCCCAATCGATGCTCATTTGTAGCCATAACCGTCACAGGTGGCCAGAATCTCAATATTTGCAAGGCCAAAAATCTAGCCCTATTTAGAGAATGTCTGCTGGAAACCTCTTTTCAACTTTTAATGGAAATTAACAGCCAAACAGATTTTCATTTTAGAAAATTCCTTTTATAGTCACTTTCACTTGGACAGATTAATTCCATTAAGATTTTAGTATGGTATTTGAAAAGCAAGTAAACAATGAACTTAAGTATCAAAATAATTTTAACAAGGCTTTTGTAAAAACTGTTATAACTCTAACTGAACGAAAATAAACTTAATCTATTTTCTTTCCTCCCAGTAAAATCAAAACATTTTGTTGAATTTCCAGACATTCAAGAGAGTGAAAATGCAATCTGAATTCAATAGAATTCTAATTTGAATGAAAATGTCTTTTAAAATTCCTGTCATTCCTCATAAGAGTTTAGAAGAAAACAATAGCTGAAAAACACAAGAACCCAGAAGTGCATTTACTTTCTGGTGTTTTTTTGTTTTAAATGTTTTAAAACCATGAATATGTCACTTATATTAATCAGTTAATAAAAGCACTGTGTTTTAAACAAACATGCTTCTGTTATCTTCTGCAAAATAATATCCAATAGAAACTTTACTGCAAGTGTAGCTTTGTCATTCTCTCCCCTGCTCTTCATTACAGTAAATCCAACTGCTCGGAGGAAACTTAAAAAAGGAAAAAGCCATTAATAACTCATGACACCTCCTTCGCCACAAGCCAGCATTTGAATCTACTCTCTTAAAGTTTTGACATTGTTCTTTACCTAGAATTGTTGGCCCATTTCCCTAAATGATTAAAATTAAGTATACTAGCTGATTCCTCTAAGTACTAAAAAAGGGATGTTGGCACACACATTAGTTTGTAATGGCACCCGAGTGATAGCGCCCTCACATTGTTTCTCATCTCTTATATTCGGGACTTTAAAAGCAACCCTTCAAATAGTTAAGAAAACCAAAATACACACAAATACAGAATCAACCAGGACACCCTGAATGAATGCACATACTTCTTTTGCAATCGACTCCAGCTAACAGACATGATTTAGTACGGTGTCTCTCACACTTCACATTATACTGACTTAAGTTTACCCTACTCCCCACTCACCCTAACATGTACCCAAGATTCCCTCCCTGCTTTTCTCCTCAAATATTTGATAAACTACTTTCTATTATCAGCAGTGAATCTTTTTATATCACTTCCCTGCCCCTTTAGCATGCCAATACTACAATGATCAAATTATCAAACTTTATATCTTTTTTAAAAAAATGTGCTTTCTCAATACATAAGCCCCCCACTATAAAAGCTGTCAATGATGCTTCCTTTATTTCTCATTGTACTTATGAATCTCCCCCTGTAGAATTAACTTTAGCCTTCTTAGACCCAGTCCTGAACAGTCAATAAGCACAGTTCAAAGAAGAAGTTACCTTCTTAGGACCCAATTCTCCAATAGCCTTGTCAATATGGCTTAACATTACTATGGCTATAACATAGGGAATAGTCCCCATTTTCCTTTATTAATAATGGGACCTGGTCACAATTTTTTAAAGTCTAGACTAGTTTTCCATATTTTATTCTCACATCATAGCTTTTAAAAACAAAGGGGCACAAACATTTGCACTTATCGGTGCCTTTTCTTCAGCCGTGTTTGTCACTCAGAAGCCAGGTCTAGTGTAGGTACTGCCCATTGTTCTGGAAGGATCAGAAGGGTCACCTTCAAAGCAATGCTTCCGTTGGGCTTAATCACTGATTAGTGGCATAATTTCTTCAAGGGCAATTGTAACAGACAAAACATATATAGGTTTCAGTTTGGGGCTTGTTTGCGTCTTTTTTCCCCCCATAGGTGTGTTTCCAGCTTCTCATTCATATTTTATTTTCTTTGAATATATTGCACACTATTTTATTATTAAAAAAGGTTTTCTGTCTCACGCAAAGTTCGTTCACCTCCACTCGGGAGGTGCTAATGAGAGTTATTCTCTAAAAGAGGTACATGGTTGTCCGTGGGGCCATCCTCAAAGGGTATCTAGTCAGGGGAAAAAAAAAAAAGACCAAAGCATTAGTTTTATTCTTTGCACTATTTCCTTTAAGATAAATTTTATTTTGGCAATTCATTTTGAGCAGCAAAAACTGCTCTTTTTAAGACGTTACAATAATTTGCTGGGATCGCTACTATTTATACTACACCACTTACAGAACTGACAGATTTGTAGGCTCCAAGTCTGAAACGACAGCAAATTAATTCAACTATAAACTTTCCGATTCCGTGTAACATACCTGGAATAAACAATAAGTTTATGAAATAACATCACCAGAAAATAGGCAGATGTAATGCTTTTATAATTAAATAATTTCCTAAGTCATCATGTCAGACAAAAAAAGTCAATTCTAGTGGACTAACCAAACCCACTGCCATCAGGTTGATTGCAACTCAAAACGAGTCCGTACGACAAAGCAGAACCGCTCCTTAGGGACTTCTTCCAAGGACAAATCTGTACAGAAGCAGCTCATCTCCTCTGCTGCCCAGAAAAGGCTGATGGGTTTGAACCACCAACTGTGTGATTATCATCCCCAATGCTTAATCCACAGCACAATCAAGGCTTCTTTCTCCTGCATGGGCTAGACAGTGGTTCTCAACCTTCCTAATGCCATGACCCTTTAATACAGTTCCTCATGTGGTGGTGACCCACCCCTCCAACCATAAAATTATTTTTGTTGCTACTTCATAACTGTGATTTTGCTACTGTTATGAACTGCGCGAACCCTGTGAAAGGGTCGTTTGACCCCCAAAGGAGAAAATAGTTTCCTTTATTCACTTCCGTGGTTGAAAAGAATCGAGACAGTTAAATTTTCGCCAAAACAAATAAAAAACTCACTGCCCTCAAGTAGATGCAGACTCATAATGACCCTATAGGGCAGGGTAGCACTGCCCGTGAGTGTCTGAGATTGCAACTGGTTATGGCAATAAAAAGCCCTGTCTTTCTCTGAAGGAGTGGTTTTGAACCGCTGACCTTTTGGATCGTAGCCCAAAGTGTAACCACTACACTACCAGAGCTCCCTTTGGAAATCACAAGGCTATAGAATTCATAACTTTGTAGAGTAACCAGTTCCAGGGTGCAGAATGCATCACATACCAGCAACTTACTTATAAGCAAATACATTTACAAATAAGTACATAAAGCAAACAAGCTTGTGGTGTGAGGGTGTGTCCACACCACAGATTTAAATGAAGCTCTGACAAAAGTTATTTATTTATATAAATAGCATGACTCAAATTTGAGGCTGGGGACGAAGAAACTGCTTCCTTTCTAATACTCAAGCACTCAAATAATCATGATGACAATTCTGCAAGTACTTTTTGAGAGAATCCCAGAATCTCAAGCCAAAAAGATAATAGCGATCACCTAATTAAAAATCCCACCTCCAATTTAAAACCTCTCCTCAATGTCCCAAGCAATCATTTAATCTACTTAGATGGGCCCAATGATGAGGAAAGTAACTCATTATATGTTAAACAAAAGAATTATAATCTGGAAATTTTATTGATAATCATGAAATTCTGGTTCCATAAAGATCTCATGCTACAATCTGAGGCAAGGAACTTTGGAAGCCATAAAAACAGTATTGATGGAAAAAATTCAGTTTTAAATATTGCATTGATCAAAGTATTGTAAGATAGGATTTTGGATACGATATACTTAGGACTATCTTAAATGAAAACAAAATGTCTCTCTCTGGCCACTTTCTGATGTAATCCTAGAGCACTTTGAAAATTAGGTATTATTCCCATCTTGACTGATAAGGAAACAACCACAGGAAAGGTGGGTGATGTACCCATGGCTATCACCAAGTAAATGACAGAACTTGCATTAACTGCTCTTTCTGTTGGATACGAAACCCCAAGGTCTTAAAAAAATTTTTTTCCATTGGCATATACTTCATATATAATAAACTTTAATTATTCAAGAAGAATTGCGCAATCATCACCACACTCAATTTCCGAATGCCCTCTTCTCTTACTCATTTTCCCCCAACCTCTCCTGCCATACGTGCCCTTAGGTAATTATTAATCCAGTTACTGCCTCCAGAGGCTTACCTATCCTGGGTTTATATACAGAAAATCATGCAAAACACAAACAGGAAGCAAATGACCAAACAAAAATAAAACCAATAACAATGATAAAACAAGAAAAAAACACTAATGAAAAAGAAAACAGAAAATATTAAAATCTGAAACACCTTTAAAATAAGGTAAAAAGGGAGATCAAATGATAAGGTATTACATTTTAACCTAAATATAGTCTATTAACATTCTTGGACTACGGTCATTGGGGACTCATCGGAGGCTTACTTCATGTGGGGACACCGCAAATGGACTTTGGACTCCCCGTCATCCGTAACTGAAGTACAGGCTTTTAGCTTTATGAAACTGGTTTTATATACCAGTGAAAAGTCCTAAACTTACATAAAGAGTTCCAATTAGGAATCAAGCACTTTTGGGGGGCATTTATAGTTACTAAATAATTTTGGCATGTTCCTACTAGTCTTTGAGGTATTTCTTACTTCATGACAAAACAAGATATCCCAAGCTCTCGATCCAAGGCTTTAGCCTTGGAACCTGTCCTTTCTCTAAGAAGCCTTGGGTCTTTTTAAAAGAAAGTGGAATTTAAGAGCCAAGATCTAGGTATGTCTTTGGCTATTTGTATGTTTGTTTTTAAGTCTTCTTGGCAAACAGAATCAACACACATATACCCTTATTTATTGTATATTTAACTACATTTTATTAAATACTCTGAGGTCTTAAATTCCAATCCAACTGTATGGAATTCTTTCAAGCTTTCCCTTTGTTTGGTGTTTGTAACACCATTCTCAAGGAGTCACCCTTTGGACTTCCAAAACACGCGGCCAGCAGTTCAAGCCCACCATCTGCTTGGAGGGAGAAAGATGAGGCACACACATTTCCCCAGAAGACTGAGAGCCTCAGAAACCAACAGGGCAGTTCCACTGCCCCTAGATGCTGGAATCAACTTGAAGGCAGTGAATTGGTTTTGGTTTTATTCTCAAGAAATAGGAACTGATTTTCAGTCATTTCAAATATAACTAAGTTTATAATGAGCACATACTGATGTTTTCTAAATTGTATTTCCTACGTCTTTTATTCTTTCAACAGTTTTGTCATATAATTCATATAGCGTACAATTCAAAAGTTCAATCACACCTATAATTCACTACTCATCACCAAATTCAGTTTCAGAACATTTTCTTCATTCTTGTACTCATTGCCATCCACTCCCCATTTCCCCCCAACCTCCCTCATCACACCCCCAAAGAAACATCAATCTAGTCACTGTCTCTAGAGATTTACCTTCCTGGATTTTACATACAGAAAAATATGAACAGATAATAATAACTAAGTAAAATTTTAAAACTAGAAAACAAAGCAGAAAATATTAAAAGCTAGAACAAATTTAAATGGATCATTTGGCTATTTACATCCCTGATCCATGGTCAGAGGGGATTCACCAGAGGCTAAATCCACATGTATTTCCCCTTCACGTTTTTCTTTTTCTTTCCACGGAAGCAGCTTTACAATGGTTCAAAAAGGGAGATCAAGTGATAGTATATTTGGACCTAACTATATCCGCCATAATCAGCGTTACAACGCTGTCTGATAACAGATCTACTCACAACTATGAGTGGGGGGGACCCTGGACTGGATTTGGGGCTTTCACTGTCAATGATTGCCTTCCGCATGCCACGTGTTCAAAATTTAAGCTCTGATGTTATTTCCTTCCTTAGAATTGGATTATACTGTTTACAGTCCTCAGATCACACAGGCTGGTGTGCTTCTTCCGTATGGACTTAGTTGACATCTCACTTAGATGGCTGCTTGTTTGAAAACAAGTCTTTAAATCCTCAGACACATCTGACAGCCGGGGGCCATCAAGTTTCTTCACCACACTTTGTAATAGGACCCATATCTTCAGTGATCTCTTCATAAGGTCGAGCACCAAGCAGGCTATGTCGCAATTGTTCTTAGACTGGGCTAGAATTAAGTGCAAGTCCAAAATCCATCCATGCCTCTATGGTTTATACACGTCTCTGGTTCACCTTAGAGACAACATTGTCATTTTATGATAGAGAACATTATCAATCATTCCCACAACCTCAGGGTCTTCATAGCACATAGTGTAATCACCCTTAAACATAACTTAATGATCAATGAATATAATTTTTGAACTTTGGAATTAAACCTTAAAAAGTTTTTTCAATATCAAAATGAGAATGTCTATATTCCTTGCTTCTTTAGAAAAAGTATCTTGATTTCAACAGACAACACTTTAGGAAATCAGACAAAATAAGAAACGAATGTTAACCTGTTGTTGAAAAGATTCCTCCAACGATACCACAAAGTCTTATAAAGAACTGCCAGAGCGGCATGTGCTCCTCAGTCACTGTCACCATAAGAGAACTGAGATCGTATTTCATAAATATCCCAGAGACTCCATGGCTGCCCGCAGCATGGTTAATGACACGCTCCTAAGAGAGAGATGGAATTCCTGTCATTGGGTTATTTGTATACAGTCAGTTCACAGCACTCCAGATATGTGACACCCATTCTTCTTGTGAAGGTTCTACTGTACTAAGCCTTCGAAAGGCAATCAAAGTATCCTGTATTCCTTGTATGGTTCCAAATTATCAAAAGAGCAGAATTATTTTTTACTGCTTTTCAAAATTAGTCACCTTATATACAAGCACATGCATTTTATACTGAGCTCAAGAGCTTAGAACTGTATGATACTTTTTTTTTATTCTGAGAAAATCAACAAAAAATAAGTTAATGTAACACACTTTTGTAAGAATTATTTGCTAGGAATTTACATAATAAAAATATTCACTTCCAGTCACTTAAATAACCAGGTTTTAAAACCACTAAGAAATGATCTAAGATACCATACATAAAGAAAACATAAAGCTACCACTATTTGAAAGCTATCTAAATTTGATATATTGTTTACAAAGGAATTCTCTTTTTCTTGAAAAGGAGATAATTAGTATCATAAACCTACCATAAAATAAACATCCTGGTTACACTTCAAAAACTAAGTTGGCAAAACTTTTAATTAATTTCTATAAAATAATTAAACAACTTTGCTACCACAGTGCTTCGTTCTGTATTTTGTGCCAGTCCCCACCTCTTTTTCCAAGATAGAACTAAATTGCAAACTTAAAGAATCCAAGCAACGTGATCAATTATCACACCAAAGGAAAGTAAAACTATTTTATGGGGCGATTTTAAAAATCCCTTTCCCACAAGCACAGCAGAACTTTATAATAAGCTATTTTCCAAGCTACGAATAACACAGCTTTATCTTAGAGCTCTGATATGTCCAATATCACACCAGTGTGATTAGCTATATTGTCAGCACTTAGGTATGTGAGCGAGGTGACGTACTGGCAATCAAGCGAAGCACAACAAAGGCTAATGGTGATTCCTCATAGGTACCAGGACCAGTGAAGGTCAGTCCCCATACCACCTGAGTCCCTAACTCCAATTACTCTTTCTTATTTAGTAAAATGTAACTACATGTTAAAAAGTATTGCTACAAAATTATAGAAGCTTTTAGCACACAAAATGACTAAAAGGTAAAGTCACAGTTTCATGGCATATCCTATCCACTAATTCTATACCTCCACACTTCTGAAGGCGGAGGTTCCGAGCTCTTTGGTCCACACCACATCAAAGGGGCAGTTTTCACATCCTCAAGGGATCCAAATGAGTCCTTTTGCACGTTCTTTGACTCGGGAGAACAAAAAGAAGTCTGACGGGCTAAAATCAGGGCTGCAGGGAGGGCATGGCTGTAAGGTCTCCAAACGACCCTCTCAAAGTTGAGAAGAAAAAAAATATTCCTGGCCACAATTTTCCTGGCCCTTTTCTCACCAATATAATTGTTTACTTTTTTACAACTTCTTCATAAGTCTCTGTGATCATTCAGCATACTTTGAAAGGTTCTCAAAATGGTTGTTTTTGGAATCCCCCCAAAACAAATGCCATCACCTGTGAACTAACCTCTGTGTCCTGAATACTTACTGGCCCGGCAGATTCTCCCACAAGCCACTGCTCTGACTGGCACTTTCTGTGAAGGCACCCGACAAGGCTCCAACAGCAACCAAACAAAACACAACCAGCTCACTGCCACTAGTAGAGTCAGACTGACAGTGAGAGTCTGAGACTGTAAGTGTGTATGGGAATAGAAAGCCTCGTCGTTCTTCCTGGACACGCGCAGTTGGTGTGTGTGTGCTTCTGACCTTTTGTGAGCAGCCCAGTGCATGACTAACTCACTCTGCCAGCACACTTCCTCCCTATCTAAATTTCATATATCCCACACATGAACCAGGCCTGCGTTAGGAATAGGCACATTTTAAATTAAAAACGAAATAAAACCCATCAGATAATATCTGTTAGCAGTCATGTAAGGACTGTTCAAAACAAATATAAAAGCAAATGACAAAATTAAGACATTAAAAGGATAAAGAAATTAACACCACCATAGTTCAACAATTTTCTGTCTCAACTGCACAGAAAGCAATTACAGCTTGAAAAAAACTATATTCTTTGTTTTAAATCTATTTCTTTCTTTCTTTAGTTTTTTGGCTCTAAATATACTAGCATACTGCTTCTGCTATAATACTGACTTAACATATGTCAATATATTTCAAACCTTCTAATAAGTTTTAAAATAGGGAAACAGTATCAACTGATATTTTAAACAAACTTCACAGGGGAGGGAGACAACAAAATCAACTTACCCTTTCTGTCACAGAAAACTGATGAGTGTCTGCTGAAATTTTATATGTATGTAATTTTGTTGGCACAACGGTAATAAAATATTGGAACATCTGGTTGTCTGAGATAAAAAAATAAAACATTTTTTTCATCAATCTTGTAGCAACAAAACTACTACCAAATATATATCCTTCTTCTATTAAACACATTCAATCTGAAATTTAATTTTATTTAGGACATAATGTTTGACATTAAAAAAAATTTTTTTTAAAGAAATAGCCAATGGAACAAATATACTGACTCGATAAAGTCACTTTTAAACAAATATAAAATAGACCTTCACAAATATTAGCATATATTTAAAATGATGAACTCATGCTTAGCTATTCTTTATCATGAATATCATCCTTTCATAGATGTGAAAAATAAAAATAGCATTTCACAGAAACTAATGGAAAATGAAGTTACAATAGTGAAATTACCAGAAGACATACTCTGAGCAAAGCATCTTTAATGTATCTAATTATAAAATTACCCTAAGGGAGTAATCACTTTAAAAAAAAGTTTTAATCCATTTAAACTAATGGAAATTGAAATCATTTTATAATGGTAGAGAAAATTCATAAGAGGCCTGATGGGTGAAGCATGTGACACATTATTACTATTTAAGAGCAATCAAAAGTCTTCACAAGACATGAGAGTAGACTATATACCAGAAAAGAAAGAAAAATAACCTTTCCATGCTTAGATAAGCTAGTATAATAAGTGGAATAGAAGATTAAAGAACATCAATAAAAGGAATCTTTGCTCTAGTGTTCAATAAAAGCTTCCAGTGTTTTAGAGTTAAACCACTCAAATATTCTAGGCTTCTGATGTTTATAAAATTCTTCAAAGAGGATTCTAAATGGTAAGTATCCATTTTAGAAATATGTTACCTTACAAAGAAAAGAATTCTACAAAAAAGGGCAAAGCTTTTGTTCTTATTCTTTTTTTAAATGTGAAAGAACATAACTGTATCTGATTAATACGCTAAGCTTTCAGATATTTAGAGTGTGTAAATTCTACTCCTGAGTCTACCTACTTTCAAGTCTAAGTTCTTTATTCTCTTCTGTGGCTCATTTCTAACAAGGATTTCATTCTTCTTGGATTGACGATCAATGCCCATTAACTCTTAAGCAATGGTCAAGAAATCCAACAACCGATTACACTGGGAAAATCTGCTTCAAAAGACCTCTCTGTTGAGAATGATGAGGGGAAACAAATGTACAAATGTGCTGGACACAATGGATGTATGTGTGGATTGTGATGTGTAAGAGTTGCACGAGCCCCCAATAAAATGATTTAATAAATAAATAAAACATGGTTAAAAAAAAGGCCTCTCACTGGAGATCCCCTTGCAGAGGGGTCTCGGGGAGGAGATGAGCCAGGCAGGGTGCGATGTAACAATGATGAGAAATACAATTTTCCTCTAGTTCCTAAATGTTTCCTCCCCGCTCCCACTACCATGACTCGAATTCGATCTTCCAAGTCTGGCTAGACCAGAGGAGGTACACTGGTACAGATAGGAACTGAAAATACAGGGAATCCAGGACGGATGACCCCTATAGGACCAGTGGTGTGAGTGGCAAAACAGGGAGGGTAAAGGGAGAATGGGTAGGAAAGAGGGAACCGATTACAAGGAACTGTGTGTGACCTCCTCCCGGGGGGACAGACAACCGAAAAGTGGGTGAAGGGAGACGTCGGACAGGGCAAGATATGACAAAATACCCATTTATAAACTATCAAGGGCTCATGAGGGAGGGGGGAGCAGGGAGGGAGGGGAAAAATGAGGACCTAATGTCGGGGGTTTAAGTGGAGAGAAAATGTTTTGAGAAACGATGTACAAAAGCGCTTTACACAATTGATGTGTGTATGGATTGGGATAACAGTTGTATGAGCCCCTAATAAAATGTTAAAAAAATAAAAAAGAGAGATCAAAAGACAAGGGGGAAAAAAAAGGCCTCTCTGAAGGGTTAAATGCAGAGGCGTCACCTTGAGGACCATGGTGCGTCTGTATTAATAAGTCATGGTATTTCCAGTCGGCTCATACATATGCAAAAGCTGAGCAATGAAAAAGCAAGCCCAAAGAACTGATACAGTCAAATTATAGCGTTGGCAAAGAATACAGACTCTATCCGAGAGGAAAGCTGTGCTTGAAGGAAATACCGCCGGAATGCTCCTCAGCAATGAGGAGGGCGAGCCTCTGTCTCACACAGCTTGTGTATGTTATCAGGAAGGACCATAACTGGGAAAGACTACCTATCATGCTTGATAACGTGGGAGAAAAAGGATGAAAGACCCTCACCAAGACAGATTGACAGAGTGGCTGGAACAATGGGCGCAAACAGAGCAATAACTGAGAGACAGAACAGGCCTGGAAAATGTTTGTTCTGTTACACACAGGTCACTATGAGCACTAACAATGGCTCATTTTCAACATTCAGAATTCACTACAAAAGCAAATGTTTTCTATATAAAATCTCATTCATCCCTCAATTTAATGACTGTCTTTAGAAAAGAATCAGGAGAAAATGATTAAAAATGTATTAAAGTTACAGGAAAATTTTGCTGCATGCAAACATGAACAGTGATTATAAAATACTTACGATCTACAGCAACTTTTTCAGTCCCATCTAAAGGATTAATAATTCCTGGCACAAGCTCTCCAAAAGATAAATGGTCTATTCTATGAGAAAAGTTGTAAGCTAAGAGGCAAAGAGGAAAACAAATTAAGTAGAAAATTACATATTAAAGACTGGTTTACAACCTCCTATACGCAAATATAAATATCTATAATCTTGAAATATTACAATGTAGTACTTAAGACCACATTATTTTGAGAAAATATATATAAGTATCATGCGAATCATAAAAAATAAAATGTATAGGGTTAAGTATATTCTGATAAAATGCTGTCTGTCAAAATCTCATACAAATCAATGTCTAAGAAATGATGCTTTATCTAATCCTATTAAACAAACAAACAAATGGTCTTTTCTGGTCTAAATCATCACACAGCAAAAGGTCTATGTTGTTTGAACAACTCACATGCTTTGGCAGAGAGTCTAAAAATCCCAAACCCACTGTTACTAAGTACATATATATTATTAAATGATATTCTGAGACTGTCAATCTTTCTGGGAGCAGGCAGCCTCATCTTTCTCCCTCACGGTGGGTTGGGACTGGCAACCACCGCTAAAGAGGTGCAAACGGAGTTTCTCATGGAACACACTTGCTTTTGCATTCTAAAGCAAATTTTAAAAACTTTTATAAGATCATAAATCAAAGTAACTTTAATATTTAATAGGTGCAAGTGCATTCGTCTATATTTGGATTTACAAATTAAAATTCACTAACATTCTTTACTGTCCATAAGAATCAATGGGAACATATACAGATCAATATGAAGTTCACTCAGCCTTTCCTTACTATCTCAGCAACTCCTGAACTATGATCAAACAGAAATACAACTCCTGAACTATGATCCAAGAGAAAATGGATCAAAACAAGACAAAGGTAATAAGCCTAGTCATTTATCTTCTTTGGATATCTGTTTTCAGAGCAGCACACTTTTAAAGACCTAACTAAAATACAATTTGCATATTAATTTAATAGTACACACACACCACTTTCTTTTCAAAGATATCAACATCGAGAAAAATTTGTGAAACTGCTTACAGTCATGGTTGACAAGTGCTGCCAAGTGGGCATGACCTCGGGGATGTGGAATTGCCCTGAAAGAAGGGAAGTCAAGAGTAAGGATAACTAACATTCTAATAGAGAACTAATTAAAATAAGAATATGGCCCTTCTATCTTAATTTTTCATCTAAAAAGTAATATAAGGATATATTTGGCCTATTATTTAAGTGGACACATCCACTCATCAAGAATGCAATAAACGGAGGTGGGAAGAGAGGATTTGGCAGATTTCTGGTACAAAGTCAGTTAAGAAAAATAATAGGTTTTGTGAGGCAAGATGCAACATCAAGGATATTTTGCAATGACTTAAAATAAGAAAACAAATTTTCAAAGTTTAAATGCTACATATAAGAAGACTGGAGAATATGTTTTATAATACATTTAGACTAAGGACAAGAATGGAATTCTTTACCTCAAATAGAAGACACTTTGGTTAATTTGGGCTTAGAGTGAATGGCCCCTGTTTGAAGTGTATATTTACTAACGGTGATCTCTAATGAGGCTTTATTCATTCATATTTAATTATATTACTCCATAAGCATATGGGTTTACTTTTCCCTTTAAAACTGTGGGCTGGGTGAATTTACCTAGCAAATTACTATTCCATTGAACAATTCTGACACATTTTGCTTCATGAGCGTAGTTGCCATTCCCTCAATGCTAATGGCATTCTTCCCACTTCTTCCCTGAGCTCCCACTTCCATTCACTCTTCTTCCCCACCCCTTTCTGTCTCTGAACATTGTTCCTGGTCAAACACTGCACATTGTGACATTGTGTGGTTGATTATTCTAAGGAGTATGTTCTACACAAGTGCCATTGTTCACTTTATGGGCCTCTCTGTTGTTTGCCTGCAAGGTGACCCCAGGAGGTGGGCTCAGTCCCAGACACGAAAGGCCTGTCTCAGGTATTCCACTATTCTCTAACAGATCAGTATGTCTAGTCTTCTTTTATGACTTTCAATATTGTTTTACATTTTTTCCCCAGTCTGTCTGGGACCTTCTATTATAATCCTGATTGGAGTGGTCAGGGGTGGTACCAAACACCAGCTGCTTCTTCTAGTGGTAGTTCAGTGGAGGCTGTGCTTCAAAAGTAGACATTAGTCCTTTAGACTCATTGCTTCCTTGGGTCTTTGATTGCCTTCATTCCTTTGCTCTAAGGCAGTGCATCTCAACCTGGGGGTCAAACGACCCTTTCACAGGGGTCTCCCGATTCATAACAGTATCAAAATAACAGTGATGAAGTAGCAAGGAAAATAATGTTATGGCTGGGGGGTCCCCACCACATGAGGAACTGAAGTAAAGGGTTACGGCATGAGGAGTGGAGACCCCCTGCTCGAAGGAGTGGGGAAGAACAACAGTCCCATCTCAGACTCCAAACACTCACCACAGTAATACATAGAACACTATTTTGTGATGGATGATATTCAGCAAAATGTCACTTACAAGTGATATTAATGATATTTTTCTATAATTGGAGCATTCTGTTAGGCCATCTTTCTTTGGAATGACAACAAATATGGATCTCTTCCAGTCAGTTGATCAAGTAGCTCTCTTCCAAATTCCCCGGCATAAACAAGTGAGCACTTCCAGTGTTTCATCAGCTTGCTGAAACATTTCCATTGGTATTTCATCAATTCCTGAAGTCTTGTTTTTGGTACATGCTTTCAGTCTGGTTTGAACTTTTTCCTTCAGTACCACTGGTTCTTGCTGATATCCTTCCTCTTAAAATGAAATGCAGACTAGTTCTGGTACAGTGATTTTGTGCATTCTGTCCATCTTCTTTTGATGCTTTCTGCACTGTTCAGAGAAACTTTCAACATTGCAACCTGAGGTTTGAGTTTTGCTTGGGTTCTTCCTATTTAAGATATACTGGGTGTTTTCTTCCTTTTTGGTTTTCTAACTCAGGGTCTTTGCCCATTTCAGCTTACTATTTGATTCTGTATTGCCAAGCTGCCCTTGGAAACTTCAGTTCTTTGACTTCATCATTGCTTCCAAATGCCTTAGCTCCTCTACGATTCAGAGCAGCGGTTCTCAACTTGTGGGTTGCAACCCCCTTGGGGTTCAAATGACCCTTTCAAAGGGGTCGCCTAGGACCATGGGAAAACACATTACGATTTACATTACAATTCAAAACAGTAGCAAAATTACAGTTATGAAGAAGCAACGAAAATAATTTTATGGTTGGGGGTCACCACAACATGAGCAACTGTATTAAAGAGTCCCGGCATTAGGAAGGTTGAGAACGACTGATTGAGAGCAAGTTTCAGTGTTTCTTCAAACATCTACTTTGATCTTTTCTTTACTGTCTTTTTAATAACCCTTTGCTTTCTTTGTGAATGATGTTGGTGGGGGCATCCGCAGCTCATCAAATCTTCTGTCATTAGTGTTCAATGTAACAAATCTTGGCTGGTGTTTCTAAACTGCCCACTTTGTGATTAGAAGCCCACCAAGTAACCACTGTGCCACCCGGGCTCCTGAGATAGCACAGAAGCACTAAACACATTATTACAACTAGTAACTGTGATGTCCCATGAAAACATCTTCCCTGCTTTTGTGATGCTATTTTCAATTTGAAACATTTTTTTTTTTTCCCTCACAGAAAGGCTAACAGTATCGCAGAGTTCATTTTCTCTGGATACCTTTCTTTGGCTGTAGTAATCAGACACTATCAGTAAATGGCTTTCCTTACTTTTGAAACTAAATTTTAAAAAGTTTTTCTGACCATTGCTTTCCTATGAGTTAAGAATATTACGAGTGCTTAATTTGTTAATGGTGACTGACATAGAGTCTTTCAGGAAAGATATAGCATTACATAATAAACACAATGTTCTCTGGCCAAATTTGATTATAAAATAAGGTACACCCCACTGTGACTTAAAAAGTGCATCTCAAAGCTCACATTTTTCTTTTTTTTCTGGTCTTAATATAACAATACAAAAGGAATACAATGTCTCAGCACAGCAATATACACTGCATGTGCGTGCTGCCAGGGCATAACTGAATTGTGCGAAGCCACAGCAGCAAGTGTGGACACAATCACAGACTGTCACAATGATTCAGCTCGGCAAAAGTCGCCATAGGTAAATAGTGTGACTGTTGCCTAACAAAATTTTATAGATAATGAATGGTGAATTTCAAGCTTTTCTTGTATTATAACATATTGGCATCTTTTTAATCTCTTCTAACCATTTAAACATGTAAAAACCACTTTTAGCTCAACTGTCATGCCAAATCGAATGGTGGGCAGGATTTGGTCCATCATGTTATCATCTACTTACTTCTTCAAGAAAGCATGGCCTTTGTTGTGCTATATATTACTCTCACAGCAAGTTTAACTGGGATTTTTTGTTCCCAAGGAGCCTTGGTGCTGTAGTGGTTACAATTTAGGCTGCAAACCAGAAGGTCAGCAGTTTAAAACCACCAGCTGCTACATGGGAGAAAGATAAGGCTTTCTACTCCCGTACACAGTGAGTTTTATGCTCTATTTAGTCGCCATGAGTCGTAAATGACTTGATGGCAGTGAGACTGGTTTTTTGTTCTGCTTTACTTCCTTTATATGTCAGGAGTGACTACCATCTTCCCCTATTCTTAACGCTCACTCTTCTTTACCTGGGTACCAATACTAGTAATTACTTCGAAAAACTGTAAATAAAAGTCCCCAATAAAACTTTCTTATTTGTAACCAAGTAAATGTCACTGTCGTATTTCAATTAAATAAATCCCCTAATGGTTCTACATCTTTAATTTGCTCTCTATTGAACACAGCAAGTACTGAAACCTATGCTGTTACCAAGAATTATTATTAATTTCTGTGTATTTTTTTTTAAACCAAGGAAGTTGGGAGGAAAGGAACCTGCTCATCCATTCAGAAATTCATGGAGTGTTTCTCTATATGACAATCTGTGTACTTAGTGATGTTCATGAAAGTAGGTGATCAGATATTTTTCTTCAACTTTGAAGTATTGTTAATGTTAGCCTGACCAATATCCAAACTCATTTCTCTGAGGTGGTCTCAACCTGTAGGTTGGTAGCTGGGCACAAATTGATTACGCCACCCAGGGACCTATTTCTAACTAAATGAGAGGGCTTCAAAAAGTTTGAGGAAAAACTCTACTGTCTGTCATTCCATTTTTTCCCACAAACCGTTTGAAGCACCCTCATATATAAACTCCTGTCTGAGATTGCATTTTGATGAGTACCACGAAAAAGTGAAAATAAAACTAAAACCTACTACTGGCTCAAAGCGACCCTAGAGAGCAGGATAGAACGAATCCTGTGAGTTTCGGGGGCTGTAAGTCTTTACAGGAGTGGGATGTGCTATATATTGTGGCTGACCTTGTGGATCACAGCCCAATCCACAACCGTTATGCCAGCAGGGCGCTGGACCCCAATGCCAGGCCAGAAGATGAGTAAATGAAGAGCTCTCTGGTTATTATAATTTAGCAATTAGAAAAATTCTAATTAGAATTTACCTATAGTAATTTTAATGTAATAGATAATATATTATAGAACTGCCTGACTTTGGTTTTTAAAATTAGCCATCTTTTCTATCCAGAGATAGAAACCCCAAACATCAGTTCTTATGACTTGAAAAATAGACACCATATTTTAAGCAGTCTTTCAGTAGTTAGCTATGTATTATTTGATTAGCGAAGATCTATTTTTCACTAAGCTCCCACCTTGTTTAAAGTATTTTCAGTAAGTGAAAAGAACATACTTGCCCACAGTTATGTGAAAATTCCCTGCTACTTTATTGACATACAGATGGCCCCGGATCCTGCATGCATCTGGAGGCTGTGCTGGGTCATCTTCCCTGTGACAAGACATAGTAAGATTACTTAGGGCCCTTTCAAGATTGTCACCATTTTCTGGTGGGAAAATTTAACAGACAAAAGTCACTTAAGATTATTTCTTCAATAATGTTCCCAATTTCAAAGAGACTTGCAATTTCTTTAAGTCTATAAATTTATAAATATCACACAGTTTTACAGAAAAATTTGTCCAAATTATGGTATAACTATTACATTTACCAAAATCTTAAAGCCCATGGTTCCTCAAATTTAACTAGGGGGATACAACCAATGAGAGAAGAAAATAGTAAAGAACTCCACAGTCCAACAATGACATACTTTCTCCATCTGTTTCTAGCATTTCAGGATGGGGAAGGGAGAATGGCATGCAAATGAGATGCCCTCTGAATTCAAAGACACAATGATATTTTTGCCCCTTAACAAAATGCACAAAATTTTTTGTATACTTTTAAAATTTAAATAGTTTCATTATTTCACTTCATGATCCAATATCAATATTTTAATGTGCAAAAATAAAAAGTTATAATTACATAAAGCAAAATCCTAGTCAAAACTTAAAGATCCTTTAAAATAGTAAATGCAACTAATGTGTTCTTGAAACAATTTTATATGGAACACATTTATTCAATTAATGAATGTAAAAAAATGTTAACAAAAAGAAAGGTTTACTGGATGCAATAAAAGAGTATTAATTAATGAAAATGAAATAACATATTTGTGATCATCTATATTATACATCATAAATATATTATGAATATAAATTAAAAGGTTATCTTCATAGTGCAAGATAATTCTATTTTCCTTAAGAAGAGTAAGATTCAGAGAAGTGAACCAGCACTAAAGCTATGGAAAAATACCTTTTTGACAAGCAGTTGCATATTTAAGAAATACACCTCACCTTGGTGGAAGTGCTGTTGATGCACTTTTAAAAGCACTTTTAAATATCACATCTTGAAGTGAATGCTCTTCTTGTAGCCGACTTTGTATCAACTGCAGCATCCTAAATGCAACACCAACAATCATTAAGGAGACTAAGGTACACAAAGAAAACAAACACTTATTTAAAAACAACAATGGTTTGATTTTTTTAGCAAAATCAAACATTTATTCTCGAAGAGAGGATTACCAATCTTTCTAAATAAAGTATCAAGCTTACTTATGGAATTTCCTGGAAAGGAAGGGCACCGAGACAAGGTGGCTAGAAGCCTAACAGGGTCTGACCTCATCAATGATAGACCTGCAGGGCCACTACAGAGCATCTGCTCCATATAACCCCCTCCCAGGGGGACGAACAACAGAAAAGTGGGTGAAGGACGACAGAGGGTGATGTAAGATATGAAAATAATCATCTATAACTTATCCAGGGTTCATGAGGGAGGATGGGCAGGAGAGGGGGGAAATGAGGAGCTGATATCAAGGGCTCAAGTAGAAAGAAAATGCTTTGAAAATGATGGCAGCATATGTACAAATGTGCTTAACGCAATGGATGATTGTATGGATTGTGATAAGAGATGTTAAGGGCCCCCGATGAAAGTATTTAATTAGAAAAAAAAAAGAGCATCTGCTCAACCTGTACATTTAAATTCATCACTCACACAGGCAGCACATACACTCACACACCTGTACATTTAAATTCATCACTCACACAGGCGGCACGTACACACACACACCTGTACATTTAAATTCATCACTCACACAGGCGGCACGTACACTCACACACCTGTACATTTAAATTCATCACTCACACAGGCACACACATTACACTCACACAACCTGTACATTTAAATTCATCACTCACACAGGCGGCATGTACACTCACACAACCTATACATTTAAATTCAACACTCACACAACCTGTACATTTAAATTCATCACTCACAAAGGCGGCATGTACACTCACACAACCTATACATTTAAATTCAACACTCACACAACCTGTACATTTAAATTCATCACTCACACAGGCACACACATTACACTCACACAACCTGTACATTTAAATTCAACACCCACACAGGAGCACACATTACACTCACACAACCTGTACATTTATATTCAGCACTCTCACAGGCACACACATTATACTCACACAACCTGTACATTTAAACTCATCACTCACACAGGTGGCATGTACACTCACACAACCTGTACATTTAAATTCAACACTCACACAGGTGCACACATTACACTCACACAACCTGTACATTTATATTCATCACTCACACAGGGGGCATTTACCCTCACACGACCTGTACATTTAAATTCATCACGCACACAAGCAGCATGTACAACCACCGTCACTTTTGCTAGTCACTGAATTAAATGTTACAAAGAGTACTGCGAGGAAGGGACCACACAACAGACTGATAGACTTGAATAAGATTACTGGGGTATACACTCACGCCACAAATACACAGTTCTCGTCACAAATCAAGCCACAGTGCCATGCAATTATCACCTGGCTCCCTTTATCCAAAGAAGCTGAGCTTCATTCTATGACAAGGTCACCATTTCAAATAAAACCTTACATCATCTTTATCATGTTGAAAAATATTGACATATAAATCACTGTATTATAGAAAACATAGTACACATTTGAGGACTACTGATGGACTTTTCTTTTTACAAGATCAAATACAGAGAATAAGATGGAAGGTTTGTTTTTTTTAAGTGAAATTTTTATGTTCGTAATCCCTCTCCAATACTTCTAATTTTAAACCCATAATTTTAAACAATTGCTTTGCATCTTTTGATGTTGTCCAACATGACCTCCTTTAATTCTCTTGTCTATAAATAACCACGACATATGTAGAAAAATTCTAATTCAGAAAGATAGAAATTATACACAAACATGGGCCCTTAAAAAATAAATACCACTCTCAGTTTCTACCTGTCTGGAGCAAAAGAAACTGAGGGTGCCAAAGACTATAGGTAGAAACTAGTCCACAGGACTTTGGTCCCAAAAGCCACAGCCTTGACTAACCTGAGACAGAAGAATTATTCTGCCCAGGGACAAAATAGAAGGTACTAGATAGAAAGC